ACCTGTTCCTCAACAACTTTTCAACTGACCTTTGCCTGAATCAGTTTTTACGTGGAGGCTTGCAAAGTGATGACTTTCTGATTTTATCACTCATCTAAGTTTACTTGTGGTCATTCTTCTTTAGGGAAGAGATTTCCCTTATTTTCCTCCCTTCTCTTTTGCTCTTTTGATTACCATTATGGAAACATTATAGAAAATATGAGTACTAGAAATCAGCGGAATAATCTTTAACCCAAAATTACATTCCCAGGAATATGTTAAAGCTGGTGGCATTCTTCAGGAGGATATTTCTGAAGCTTGTTTAATTTTGGGAGTTAAAAGACCTGCAGAGGAAAAATTAATGTCCAAGAAGACTTATGCATTCTTTTCCCACACAATAAAAGCTCAGGAGGCCAATATGGGATTGTTGGATGAGATTCTAAAACAGGTAATTAGTAACCAATATTCATAAATGTTAATACAGAAAGGTTTTTTTTTTGTATTTATTTATTTTTACTTTTAACTCTCAAGTGGAGTTTTAGTTTCCTTTCAGCATCTAGGAAATATAGTATTCACCTCAATAGGAAAGGTGATCTATGAGTTAGTGCTTAAATAATTCTGCTGCTTTTTAGGGCTCCTTTGCTGTGCAGGTTTGGAGTTTGTAATAACAGAAATTAAATATATTTCATTCCTTTTATATTCTGAAGTGGAAAAAGTGTTTTTCCCTAAATGATTACCAATTTATAAACCCAATTGGGCAGCTACTACAATAGAAGTTTAGATATGAAAATAACCTCAGGGATCATAAAACTTACTATCTTATTTTTCAGATGGCGCCCAGAGAGGTGAAGTGTCTCGACTGAGGTTTCACAGCTCTGTGGTGCCAGAACTGGACTAGAGATGATTTTTACATGTATAGACATTCATAAGGGAAAAAAGAATTTTATTTTTAGATATAAATACTATGGAAAAGCTAGTAGCTGTTTAAAATACAGGATATTCATTCAACAAATATTTAGTGAGTGCCTGCAATGGGTCTGACACTGTTCACTGCAATAAAAGAGCAAAATAGTAAAGTATCCCTGTCTTCACAGAGCTTACATTCTTGTGGGAGGAGTCAAATGATAAATGAATAAGATGTCTAATATGTCACTTGGTGATGTGTGTAACGGAAATGAATATAATACTGAGAAAAGGAGTGCTGGGCACTGGACAATGCTGACTGAGATAGGGTGGTCAAGGAAGGCCTCATTGTGAAGGTGGCATTTGAGCAAAACTTTGAAGGAGGCAATCAAGTAAGCCATACCCATGTGGAAAGAATCTTCCAAGCAGAGAGAGTAGTTGTACAAAGGCCTGAGGGTCTTTTGGAGTGGAGGGTTAGAGTAGATCATGTTCTGAAATGCTTATTCGGTGTGAGTAACAGTTGGAGGTGGAAGGAGGAGAACAAGGTTGATAAAAGACTATAGTCTATGCTAGACTAGACTCTAGGCAACAAGTGATGGTGGACTGCACCTGGCTGGTAAAAGTGGGAGTTTTGATACCTGGACAAGTCCTGGATGTATTTTAGAGGCAAATCCTACAGGATTCTTTGATGAAATGAAGGTGGAATGTGTGAAAAGGAGAGAAGTCAGGGACTCTAAGGTTTGGCCTGAGCAACTTGAAGAGGTTGCCATAGATTGAGAGAGTGCTACTGCAAAAGGAGCAGTCTTAGATGGAAGGTCAAGAGTTGAGTTTAGGGGCTGGCTAGTTAGCTCAGTTGGTTAGAGTGCAGCCTTATAGTACCAAGACCATGGGTTTGGATCCCAGTACTGGCCAGCTGCCAAAAAACAAAACAAAACAAAAAAACCCAAAAACAAAAAACAAAAAAAGGAATTGAATTTAGGGCCTGTTGAGTTTAATGTGCCATTAGACATTTAGGAGGGAAGCCAAGTGGGCTACAAATCCGAAGCTCAGGAGGGCAGCTCCTCCTGCCATACATTTAGTAGTTGTTAGAGACTAACTAGATGGTGTCTAAAGCCTCAAGACGGAATGAGTGTAGGAGTGTGGGGAGTGGTCCACATCCTGGGATAAGGATGTTAGAGCATTAGAAATGAGAGCATGGGCCGGCCAGGTGGCGCACTGGATAGTGCGCTGCTTGGGAAGCGTGGTGGCGCTCCCGCCCGAGGGTTTGGATCCCCCATACAGACCGGTTCCCGCTCACTGGCTGAGCGAGGCACGGGAGCAACACCGAGGGTTGTGATCCCATTGCCGGTCCCCAGTCCGGTACGGGGGCAACACTGAGGGTTGCGATCCGTTGCCGGACACGGAAAAAGACAAAAAAAAAAAAAAAAAAAAAAAAAAAAAAAAAAAAAAA